AACATCAGTTCGAGGTCAGTAAGCACAAACCAAAATTCATACATAAGGCGCACTGTCGATTTTTGTGAAGATTTAAGGATTTTATGTGCACCTTATAGTGCGGTAAATACGATATTACAGAAATGGGTCTGTTATAGGTATGAGGGTACAAAATATGGGTCTATTATGGGTATGTTAAAATGTACACGGTATGAAGGTATGTTATGAATATGCAATAATTATAAGTATGTACAGGCTGTAGTGGGTGTACAAGCTATGAAGAGAATATAAATATGAAAACTATACAGAAATATGAAATTAAAAAAAAAGCTATACAGAAATATATTTACATAAATATAGAAAAAGTACTGTTTATAAGGTTGGGGAAACCTGTAGTCAGCAGAGTCACCTGGATGAGTGACGAAATGTTTCTCCCACTGAAAATGTCCAGATGAACAGAACCCACTTTTGGAGATTACACCGGAGTATTATTGCTACATTAAGAAAATAAAAAATATTTTCGATCGTTTTGAGAATAAAATTGAAATTTTACAATTAAAGTTGAAACGTAACATGTTTGCTGTAATCTCTATGAAATGCCTTGTTAGGATGGGTCAGTGAAACAAATGTATTAACTGTATTATGATATACCACGTCCTCTTTTTTTTTCTTTGTGTGCATCTCCTCTTCTGAATTTGTGTTTTTCTGTCTTTTTCTTTTCAGCGTCCTTATACTCATCAACACACTGTGTTTATCAGCTAAAAGAAACCATTTCACTCACTCAGAGGGTATAGAAGGGTCTTGAAACAACAACTGAAATCTTGAAATTTTGCCTTTATTCTCGAAATGATTAATAATATGTTTCCCTAATACTCCTTGGAAGTATATTCAGTCTGTCTGCATGTAAAAAGCAGACCGACTGAGCTGATGAGGAAGTGAAAAAGTGCTGAAAATAAACCTTTGTCATCTTGTTGAAGTTGTGAAGCTCTCTCAGTGAGTTTGTGTCTGTCGTTCAGGATGAATGCCTTGCTGTCCATCTGTCTCTGGCTGTCTCTGATGATGTTAGTCTGCTGTGGTGAGTGAACTGGAACCAGAACATCCTTTAATCCTAATCTGCTGCAGGTTTAAGCTGTTTTACATGAAAGATGTGATGCTGATTGAGAGAATGATCACGCCTGTTCTTTTTTTGGCAGTCAGGATGTTTTCTGCATTATTTCTTATAAACGGCTGCAGCTGCTTTGAAACTTTAAATATTAAAATTGCAAATCATTTTGCTAACTGATGGATTCATGTCAACAATCCTAAAAAAGCAAACTTGCTCCACAGAGGTCGACCAGCTGATTGATCCATCGTGACTTTACTGGACGTCAGAAGATGTTTGTTGCATTACTGCAGTTACAGTTTCATAAGTTTTTAAAAAGATTGTTTAAAAAGAAATTTAGAGATCTGTTAAGAATTTGCTGGAGTAATTGTCCTGGAGACACTTGCTCTGTCAAACTACTTCATACCACTACATTAATGTTTGGTGCATGAAACCATGAACATCAAAAACTAAAAACTAAAATGCCAGGCTTGTAGAGCAGTTTGTAGTTTGTTTTTAGCTCACCTTCCATCAGGTCACATGAATTTATTGTTTCTGCTTAATTTTCATCACCAGGAATCATTGAAAAGGAAAACTTGCACCATGAAGACATGTATGAATTCTCAGCGAATAACGACACTTCTTATTATAACTTATCTTCTTATTATGACTACTATTACTATGGTAACTTCAGAGCACCTGCACAACACAGACACCTTATCTAGTAACGCAACTGTTGCTGAGCTGTACTCACAGCAGCTTCTGTGCTTTCTTGTCTTTCTAGA